TATGTACATGTACATGTACTTACAATGTGAAAGACTACTATAATCAAAATTGGATTTTTGTTAATTTTTGGCTGATACCATATAGCTGAAAATTTTTGTTGAGTGCTAATTTTTGTTTTTTTTTGTTGGCCAAAAGTTTCAATAAAAATTTTAGACAATGAAAATTTAAAATTAACTGGGTATGAGCTGGTTAATCATTAATAATTAATGTTAATCAATGAAAATAAAATCAACAAAAATATCTTCTAAGGCCTGCTTGGATAGACAATAAATTTAATGGCAATGGAAATTCTCTGCTATACAATATTAATAATACAGTATTTTTCTCTGTCCATAGACTAATTTGTTACTAATTTTTATGTTAAGAAGCTCAAAAGTATACTGTACATGTACAATGTACATGTGTAACAAGTCTTGCTCGTTCATGCTCATCAGTTATGAAGAGAATATTTCATTTATCAAGTACACTATCAGCAAGTCAGTCAAACAAATACCAGGTGAGACCACACCCACTGACCTCACCCTTTAGATTGACCACACCTTCCTTCAGTGCTTTTTGATAGTTTTTTCAAGCCATTTCAAACCTGAAGCTATTTGGACTTTATTCTATGAGGTTAGGTTAGTAATTAATTAATTAATGCCATATAGCGGGTTTATTTCGAGGATAATAAATTGCACAAATGACCCGTATCTGAATGTTCACGGAATTAATTTTTGCGAATTTGCACTATTCTGCCATCTTGTACTGCATTAAACTGATTTTCAGAGAATTTAATTTTGCCAAATCTTGAAAAATCTGCAAAATTTGTTATCCTTGAAAATAACCATTATACGGTAATAGTTAATATTAATTGTAATTGTATACTTTACAGTATAAGGCATGCATGCATATACATGTACAGTAGCAGGGCCGTAGCCAGGAACTTGAAATAGGGGGTTCGGAAATTGCTGAGTTGCGAAGCGTGCAGCAAAAATTTTTTGGCAAAAAATGGGCGTGGTTGGTAGGCGTGGTCTTAATGTACGCATCTCGGCCTTGTGCTGACTCAGCTAAAATGGCTATCTGTGCTTCTCGCTGTTGCCAAAATGCTAATCCTGCTTTTGCAGTGCTGTTCTTTATGACAGGAGCTAATCTAAAACTTTTTTGCAGCTACAACAGGGGGTTCGTCTGAACCCCCCTAACCCCCCCTGGCTACGGGCCTGAGTAGTTTGAAGGATAAAATTTTCACTAATTTACATGTTTAAAGAAGTCACAAGATTGATGATAGTGATTGACAGTATAAAGAACTTGCCACTACTAAATGCACCACTAATTGGGCAAAGCCCACTGATGTCAGTGATGTGAAGTATTTCTGTATGTGTGTGCGTTTGTGGGCATGGCTGGGAGGCGTGACTGGAGTTCAGAGCCCCTTAATGTTTTAAATTCTCTCTAGTTTTTTATTGTAATGGAGCATGCTCCATTACGTATGTGTACATGCATTGCACTAAAATGGCAATATAAAATAATTTTTTGATTTTGTTTATTATTTTTTGCTATTATATTTTTCATTGCACCGTCACTACAATGTACATGTACATGTACATAATTATTGTTATTTTTATTTTCATTCCTAGATTGGTAGACTAGATAATCTCAAACAGTGGGATGGTAGCCACTGCTGAAAGTTCAAGTACTTATGTAATACAGAGGTGGGTGGGTTACCAAGATCCCCTCACTTCAGCTGTACATGGAGTATCTTCCTTATAATTCTCTCATTAAAATTTATATATTAGAAGTGAGGTATTGTTAGTCGTGTAATATGCAATGTCTTTATTGTTTGTACATGTAGGTTGCTGAGTCTTGTTTAATGAAATATTTGAACAAGTAAGTCTTTTATTACATTTTCTTATCGATGTCCTTATTTTATGTACATGTAGAAAGTTTGAATTGTTTTGACAAATATTCTTATAGTTATGAGCATTAGCTGATTTGGATTAGCATATGGTTTTCTCAAATAATGACGCCAAAATCACCCCAAATTTTTATTAAAATATCTGAATTCTGATACATACTGTATGGATGCCCTTATGCTATGTAGAAAGTTTGAGCTGATTCTAACAAATAAAGAGCATTTTTGAAAAAAGCCATTGTTTGAAAAAAGCAAAGGCTATAAAGACCATGGTTTTCCCCAAAAACCTCTGAAATCACTCTCAAATTTCATTAAATTTTCTGATTTATATTTATGTCTTATGTTATGTAGAAAGTTTGAGCTGAATCCTACTGATAATTTTGAAGTTGTGAGCATTATAAAAAATAAGCCAATTTTTGTAACAAAAAGCAAATGCTATAGCCCATGGTTTTTCCAATTTTTATTGTGTTTTTTTATTCTTATTGATGTCCTTTTCAGTGCTATGTATAAAGTTTGAGCTGGCTTTGATTGAAGCTTCATGAGTTTATGAGCATTTTAAAAATTGCTAGCAGTAACTATTTCTCAATCCATTTACTGATGTACTAGCTGTAGTTTAGAAAATTTAGCCAATCCTGATCAAAATTACATTTTTCACAAGTTTTTATTTGCTTAAAATTTGCCATTATAATAATTTTTGTTATTATTTGTACTTTTCTCTCTCTCCCTAGACTAATAATTTATTTTTAATTTTTTGTTCTGCTCATTCATGTCCATCAGTTACATCTATGAATAGAATACTTCATTTATTACATACGCCATCATGCAGTCACACAATTACCAGGTAAGACCACAGCCACTAACCACACCTCTTTATGTTAACCTTGACCTCTTTTAGTTGTATGAGATGTCGTCTGATAAACAAGTACATCTACATGTGTATGTCCTTCAGTGGACTTACATGTGTGTCTTTTGATTTTTTTTTCTCAAGCCATTTGCTATTTTGACTAAGACCTAAGAATCAGGTTACTTGGTATGTAATTAGTAATATAGTTTAATGTCTTTTTCTTTTTAGAGTGACATGACTGATGTACTTCTGCTTCTCATTCCTGAAAATATTTAAAATTTCTATGACTGAAAATGCATGTATATGTAAATGTACTGTACTTTATGACTGAAAATTTATA